AAATGAACGCCTTCGTTCACTGAAGAGATGCTTGCACATGCTTGCCTCTTGTGCTATATAAATATGAGTATTTAAATATTAATATTAAATATGAGTAAATAAACATTTTTAAATATCATCAAATCCAAAATACTTTATCGTAAATAGTAAATAAAATTTATTAATATTAATTTTTATTCCTACGTCAAAAATTATGAATGAAACTCTCCTTCCCCCCCCTACACATTAAAGGAAAACACTTTTAAACGGTGCTTCGAAGCCAAAAAATACTCTTTAAGAAATTAAAGAACGCCTATTCAGTATCAACAGTTTTAATGTAGGTCAATTATATCTCTGGAATGGTTATTTCGTCATGAAATTAGGTTTCTTTTGCCACCTCCATTTTTAAAATACTCTATCACCTGCTGAGAGGTGTTACAGATTCTATACTACATATAGCAGACTCTCAGTAAAATAGACACCTATACTGCTGAAATATTTAAAATCACAGATACCTTCATTACCACTTTCCAGCCATCTAGAGATTGCCGATTTCGAGTGCAATAAGTGGCCTAACGAAGATATTTTAAATATTTCAACAGAATGGTTGTCTATTTTACTGAGTTATTCATGTTTAGAATCTGCTATATACTGTATAGGACTCTTTCCCGCCTCTCAGCAGCGAAGTATTTTGAGAATGGAAGTGGCAGAAGAGACCGAATTTCATGAAAAAATAACGAACCCCAATTAGAGAGATATAGCTGATCTACATTAAAATTTTCGGTACTGAGTAGACGCGGAATTTGCTGCTCCACAGCTTTTGTTCTATGATTTTTTTTTATTTTAGGAAACTAATTTCCAATCTTCGGCATATAGGTGATGGGAGCAGTGAAGGATGGATTTATGAAGATCGTTGATGTAGGAACTAAAAAGAAGAGGCGATATGGTAGAGTCTTGGGCCACTCCTGAGGTCAGAGTAAGATAGTAAGACAAAGGCTGATTGGCAATAGCGACTGCTTGGGTTCGTTGAGAAAGGAAAAATTTAAACCAAAGAATAGAACTATTAGAAAAGGTTATAGATTTTAATTTGGAAAATAGAATGGAATGGTTGATGGTATCAAAGACTTTGGAAAAGTCTAGGAGTACAAGGACAGTTAGTTTTTGATTAACTATAGCAGATTAAGCATCACTAATGATTTTGATCGGGGCGGTTTGTGTGAAGTAACATGGTCTAAAACCTGATTGGAGCGGGTCAAGTTGACAGGTCTGTTCGAAGAAATTGGACACTTGGGATTGAGATTGGACGGAAATCTTCAGGAGAAGTGGGGTTAAAAATTTTTATTTAAAGGTCGGACGATGGCTTTCTTCCAAGGGGTAGTAAACACGTAGTTCTGAAGGTAGAAATTGTAAATGAAAATGAGAATGGGGAGGATTTCAGGGAGAGATAATTTGATTAATTTGGCAGGAATGCCATCTGGACCAATGGAATTCGAATGTGATTTCATCAAAGCGATTATGAGGTCTGTGGGTGAAATATCGTTAAACAATGTAGCCGAAGGAAAGGAGGATGTTAATGGTATGGTGGCAGAGGATGAAGATATGAAATAGGAATTTAGATCATCAGATGAAACTGGGAATACTGCTAAGGAAGGTGATCTGGATGGTTCACAGAGGGAGAGTTTACGAAGGAGTAGCCATTTGGATTTGGAATCAGGAGCTGAAAAGAGTGCTTCATGAAAATAGGTGGATTTGGCTCGTTGGATTCTGGTTTGTGTCAGGTTACGGAGAATTCTAAACGCTTTTTAATCGTCAGCAAGCCTGGTACGGAAAGTTATGGTTCTAGGTAGAATCGGAGGAGTTTAGATATTATATGAAATTTGGATTAGGCCATGAGAGGATAAGAAGCAAACTGTTAATTGGGAAGAGGAAGAGAGGTTCTGACCGGAGTTGATAATGTACATGTCATACCTTGAGGTATGGTGAGTGGAAGAAAAAGGAACGATGAAGAGATGAAGAGCCAAGAAAAGGTGTAGGAGGTATGATTTATCGTAGGAGTCAGAAAGGAAATTAGCGTTTAAGTCACCGGAAATGATAATTTTGGAATAAAGGGGAACAAAATTGTAGATGGATGATTCAAAAGACCGATCAAAGGGAACTTTAAGAGGGAAATATTTTACTGTATAAAGGAGAGGAGAGGTATTACAGGAAATCTCAAGAATAAGGAACTCGGTTTGTGGGTGATCGGATGGAGGAGAACAGTCAAGTATTCGGATCTTGCGGCTTTCGTGGACATATATAGCTACACTGCCGCCAGTCCGGCTTTCTCGGTCATGGCGGATTAAGATGTAGCACAGGTGGATCTACGGGGGGGGAGGAACTTTCGGGCTGAAGCCCTCACTCCCCAAAATGGTAAAATATGACCATGTTTTACAGAAAAAAATATTAAAAACTATCTCATAAAGTAATTCTTGTTCATGTAATTATATTTAATAGGACTTCAAGAACCACTTAAATGCCATTTCATATAGGTAATTAATTTCTTTCTCTTTTTTTTTTATTAATTATTGTTATATGTATATGAAAAAAAAATCTTTCGGGCTGAAGTCCCCCCCAAATTAAATTCTGGATCCGCTAGTGAGGTGTAGTGTAATGTAGGTGACAGTAGTCCCAGAATAAAATTATTTTTTCATTTATTCATTCATAGTTAGGCAGGAAGACAGCGGAGGAAGGGATGTAGGGCTTGAGCCATGTTTCGGAAATCGCTATAATGTGGTAAAAGTTTTGAGTGAAATATTGTCGGAATTCATCCTAATGGGCTAGAAGGGATTGGGAGTTAATCCATGTAGTTAAGACACTAGACATGTACTGATTTTAGGAGATATCAATCGAGATATGCTAGGATATATGATAGGAAGACACTGGAATATATAAGATACAAAAAAATAAAATATGGTATAAATTAAGATAAAAGAAAAAAAAGTAAATTAAAGAGAAGAAATTCCGGGTAAAAATACAAAACTGAAAATCCATATTAAATAGTTAAGTTTAAATAGTAAAAATACAAATTAAATAGTTAAGTTTAAATTTAATACTCAAAGGTCGATTAAGGAAAAGTTGTAAATATATATATATATATATATATATATATATATATATATATATATATATAAATGTAATTTCAAATGTATTTTTGTAAATAGAACTCAGAGATTGGAAGAATGTGGTTCAAATAGACTGATGGCATTATAAGGTTTTCATTGCCTATGGTCTTGCATATTGCATCATTGGTCTTAATGAGTTTTGGTATTGATAAATAGGACCGAAATTCACAAATGGTAAGGTTTAGCTCCATTAAAATGTACTTCAAAAACTTTTTATAATAACTTAATTTTGCCAAAAAATAACTCTACTCAGAGTAGAGCAGTAAGAGAAAGCTTAAGAATGCACACACTAGATTTTTTTTTTTTTTTCACAACCTCATGAATGACAATTTATATACATTCATAGATATTGATACTATTAATTATATTTCAACCAGTGTATTTTTATTTCTTTTTGGTTATTTTGGAAGGAGAAATTCCCCCTTTTTTCCCTCCTGTGGATCTGCCACTGATTGAAATATGGTCAACATATAAAAGTTCAGAATATCATAAACTAGTGAAATAGTATAATCGAATTAAGGTAAACAATTTATAAAAGTGAGATAAATATCAGATAATGACCAATAAATATATTAGATTATAAGTTTTTATTATGAATATACATATTGATTGTTCTTTATTATTAAAACAATTAATTATAAATAAATAAAATATTCATTAAAAACTAAATTCTAAAAAATAATGCAATTACAATTCATTCTTTCAAGTATTGATAAAAAGAAAAAACTGCTGTGGCATTACATATTAACTTAAACAGAGAGTTGGTAAAAAGGTGCAAGATATTACCAAAAGTTTATCTAAATCTTAACTTATATAGATACCAAAGCAAGAAAAATTTAAATAAATATTCATATCTTTAAATTTCCATTTCATTATCAGTTTATAATTTCACATTATTATTAATACTTTCATAGGCTAAAAATATTTTTGATATTTGATATTTTATTGGTCATTGCATGTCAAATCAGTCCTTTAATTTAAGCTGAAACTTATTAAAATTTAATGTATAATATACCATGTAATTATTTAGTTTTATAATTTTTACTTAAAAAAAACCTTCTACTGTATACAACTTTGAATAATTAATTAAAATGGAACCCTTCTATATTTAACATGAAATATAAAAGCAACAACTATATTCTCAAATTAACATAAATTAAAGAATGAAATTGCTTCACTCTGTATTTATTTATTCTTTAGTCTACATCAATTTGAGACAAAATGTATAAATCTGTAAAAATAAGACTAGTCCACATACAAAATGAAAGGAACATAATTCAAAAAAGTGTGTTATTGGTGCACATTTTTTACATAATAATCTCAAAATGTCAGAAGATAATGACTGTTCTGGATTTGCAAATGTCATACAAATTTATTGGCTAGAAATAAGGTCATAGAATTTTCCTAAATAAAATTCCCCAACTAGTAATATTTGTTACAATCACTAGTAAAAAATTTTTTATGGTATTGATTTGACATGAAATAAACATTATACAAACATAACTAATGTCGGAGACATTAAGATAATTTAACTATTATTAAGTGAATAATGTATATTTTCAACGCCATGGGAAAAAAATATTAAAATTACAGCATTACAAAATATTAACAGTTGATTTTATATTTTTGGCATTATTATTGTTATAACCAGATAGCTAAACTAATTAATAAATAATATTTCTTTTCTTAATGCAGTGTTATAACTAAAACATCCATCAAACACTCATAAATCAGAATTTTCTTAGTTACTACATGGTTTTTATAAACATGCATTGACTAAGTAAAAAACACAAAATCAAATCTAGAAAAATTATTTTTAAAATAATAGATGGACCAAAACCCAACCAAATCCATATAGGATTATAAATATTCCTTTTCAAGTGCACTGTACAAAGCTACAAGATCTGAATGAGAAGACACCCTCCAAAATGGAAAATTCATCTGAAAAAAAAATTAATATTTTTTAAAGATATAAAATGTATATGAAATAACTTATTATATGATATTGATTAGACTTAAGGACATTATACCATTTTTATCAGACAGCAAGTGAGGGACTGTGGTCTTAAATTTAAAAAAAAAAAACAGACGCTCTGCTAGTGATCACCAGTTTTAGTCTTTTTTTGTCTACTAATAAGTTGGGATGTTACCGTTACATGGTTTCATGAAAATGCTGAAATTTCTCACATTTCTTTTGTTTTTTAAATAAGTAAAAATAGACCCTAAATTGAAAATGAAAAGCTGTTTTGACTTGAGCTATTAATTATTATTTATTTATAATAATAATCAAGTTGAAATGAATATGATATATGATTATAAAATAACTTGATGTTTCAGTAGATTTCATGATGTTTTAAAAATATTTATACCTCTTTTGCAGCATTCTCCTCTTCCATACCATCACCAATTACAACATAAGTGCATTTGCTATTTGCAAATCTAGAAACAATGCGTTGAAAGCACCCTTGTTTGCCTGAAAGTAAAAAATTAAATTGATGAAATTTTTAATACTTTCAAATATTTAGTAATTAATTTGAAACTGAGTATAGCCATCATATGAATAGCCTATCTTTTAAGCAATTAAAACTCCTATGCTGTCCCTCAACAACACCCCTATTCAATAATGGAGGGCGAGATATATGTCATATGACCAAAAGCTCTTTTATGGCGTAGACATAATAAAGTCCTAGAATATTGTAAATATAGTTAGTTCTCATCTCCCAACTGTTATATATAGACACCATTGTCTACAAATCAAGCACTTATTTTAAGTATTTCGATATTGCAGACCAATCATTTAAACTTTATCATTTACCATTTTTTCTTCACATTACCAGGACCGGAACTAGTATTTTTCAGAAGAGCAAGCTCAAATTTGTTGCCCCTTCTTTCACCTGTTCCCAATCCCCCAAAAAATCAACATTTTAGATAATATATTTTGAAGTAAATATCGCAGATAATATTAATTTGTGTTATTGACAGAATCAAGATCAAAGCAACCAAAAAGCATAGATAAAAAATCTGGTACGCGCATCACACGACTTTCACTTAACATCTTCTTCTTAGCAGAAATAAGTATTTTCAGACAAAGGGGAAGTGAATTAAAAATTATTGAGGCTATATTTATTCTTTTATTATGCTATACAATTCATTTTGGGTATTTTTATTTGTTTAAATACCCTTATATATACAAATTTTAATTTTTATATCGCTGTATTCCATACAATTAAGTACTAAATAATACCAACGATAGCATTTAAGAAAACCACATATGTATATGAACATAATATTGTCAGAGTCAAGCTTACGGTACGTATGGAAGCCTGTAATCTTTCGGGCAAGCTTGAATTCCTTTTATTCTTCTTTTACAACTATTATCCATTACAATTTCTTCTTTGTCATTTAGTTAATAATCAAATTCTTCCATATTTTACATTTAACTAATTTTTATATCAAAGATTAATGTGAAATGGTTAATTATTTCAAATAAATGTACTTTAGAGGAAGCCAATATTGAAAATTAGCCATTTAAGTCCTGATAGAGAACATCAGTAAGAATAAAACCTATATTATATTAAAAACTGTTTAATAATACACTGATATACTGAGTTTAATCAAAATCATTAGTGCCGTTTTAGAACAAATTCTGTGTTTTACAGTCTAATCAAATCTATGTGATGGGTATGACACCTACCTATTATCAATCCAATTTTAATGAAACTTTTAGAAATTCTGTGCATTGGTACATAGTTTGTCCATTATCAATTTTGTCAAATCCCCATTAACGTATACCCAAATGTATTTTTCCACTAAACAAACCTAACCGGTTTGTCCGTAAAAAAGGAATTATTCAACGGATTGTCTGATTTTGGTCAAAGTCAGCGACTAATCTATAAATGGACTAGTATCAATTTCATCAAATTCCATCACCTACTTCTGCTTCAGCATAATGAACATATTTTATTTGACAAGCGTATGTTTCACAAATGGCTAGTCTAGATTTTATCCCTAAATCATTTTATCATTTTATTAAATTGAAAAAAAAACTACTAAATTTTTAAAAAATCATTGCCTATGAAATAAAGTTAATTATGTACCAAAACATGGAGGGGTAATATAAGGAATACATGTAATGGTGAGGAAGCTATACTGACCCTACTTTGGCAGATATTTTTTTTGTTAACATTATAAAATTAACGTGTTCATGTTGATTAATTTTAGTTCCTCATTGCTTTAGAAATATGTATTAAATCATTTAGTAACTAGAAAGTTATATAATTATACAAACATTATTTATTTTAATTAAAAATGAACATTATTAATTTTTAAAATAATTAAATGACTAACCAATTTTAGTTGCTGAGTAGATATTTTCAATCGGGAACACTTTTCCGACATCAAAAAGAAGGAGCTTAGCTAAAGCTGGAACAAGTTGTGTTCCGGTAACCAGAATATTCAAACACCTTTCTCTGTCAAAAAATGCAGAAAATACTAGTAAAAAGGGTGTTTTCATAAAAATAATTTAAAGTATGATTGAAATTGAAAAACAGAATACATTTATTTTTTGTTATAAAAGGTGTCACATAAGTAGAGAACAATTTTTAAGAATTGCTATTAAACTTTTTCTTGACTGGATAAAAAAGAGCAATATGTTTTTACACAACTTGAGGTAAATCTCAATTTTTTTGCCTCAAACTCAATTAATATGGACTTAAATGCTTATTAAACGAGGAAGTTTTTCTAAAAGTGGGATATCTGTAGTATAGTTGGATGATGATAAAAAAAAAAAAAAATACGAATACTTTATAATTTTTTTTAAAAACAGAACTTAGCTTAATTTACCCACTCAAAAGTCCTCTTTAAACGTTTTCAACAATGACAAACTCTATTTTCTTTTGAAGTAATTTTTTTATAGTTTACAGTGAATCAATTTTTAATTACATAAATTAAATATTTTTTTAGTTATCACTTCCTATTCAACAAAAACCATGACACTTAAAAAAATACAAAACTTGGATTTCCTAGCTATTGTTTATATGAACTTTTTTGTAGATCTTGGGCTCTGCTATCACCAAGGGCGGATCTACGGGGGGAGGGGGGGGGAGGCTTTCGGGCTGAAGCCCCCCCCAAAACGCCAAAATATAACCATGTTTTATTGAAAAATATATTAAAAAACTATCTCTTAAAGTATTATTGTTCGTGTAATTACATTTTAAAGGGCTTTAGGAATCACTTAAACACCATTTCATACAGGTAGTTAGCTTCTTTATTTTTTCTAAAGTAATTATCGTTATTTTTATGAAAAAAAAATCTTTCGGGCTGAAGCCCCCCCCCAAAATTAAATCCTGGATCTGCTAGTGGCTATCACTCCTATAAAAATTTCTCTCTACTTATGGGACATCCTGTATATATATTCTTTAAATATTATAAATGCTACTGTTTGCCTTATAGTTTTATAATATTTAAAGATGAAAGAGTTCTTGAAAAATATGCCATTCATGTTATAACTTTTGATTACCTAGCATAAATGTGTTCAAGACAAGTCTTGGAAAGAGTAAGCCAGTTGTCAGTAATTCTTTCAATATCAGATCTGAGGGCCAGCCTTTCCTCCCTTCTTGCAGATTCAAGCAGGCCTATGAATAATGGTAAGTGTAAAATTAATATAAAACCACCGAACAAAAAAAAAAATATATATATAAGGTTTGTTAAATGAGTAATAATAATACTGAGAAGTTTCCATGTGTTGTATTTTTGTGTCTAGTGTAATACAAACCTTCAACTGAATTCCTGTGCCTATTGTATAACTCCTTGATAACACGATATCTATAGGCAATTTTCAAAATCCTGTCAGCTCCTCCTGAATGTTTAGCCTCAGCTAACCCATCTTTAGCAAAATCATACCCAGACAATTCCTTCCCATTGTCATCACTGACAGTATCATCAATGTGGACTTGGTCATAAAGCTGAAAGCATAATTAATTTTCATACAGATAATGATAACAGTCACTACGTCAGCGTTCAGTGAAAATAACATGTAAACTAAAATTTTTAACTCCATAAATTTATTAACCAAACATTATCTTAACACAAACAAAAAAACATATTAGACGTTGTAATTTTATACTTGAAAAAATCTGATCTAAAAAGCTTTTTATAATTTTTTTATATAATATTTTACCCTTCTTCTTAAAATCTAGATCAAGATAAAGTCATGGGAGAGATTATTTAACTGATATTAAAAAAAAGTAGTTAAAATGATCTTAAACTCTAATCTAGCTTAAAACTACAAAATTTCCATTTTCAACATTTATTAGGCATTATATGAAATACCTGTATAACGGAACACCTCTAAGAAGGCATATAAATATATATATATTGATAACTCCCTGATACTCATAACAAAGTTTGAAGTGATTTAGGCATCAATGTAAAAACCATTTCTATTATAACACTGATTCCTTGTGGGTAAGCAGATGTCAGAATAAAAGAAGATATCTTTGATACATTATTGATATAAAGTATTCTAAAATGCTTTTCTATAAGACAGGAAAATAAAGAGATAAAAATGATGGAAGAATATGTTCTCCATGAATATATATATATATATATATTCATGGAGAACATATTCTTCCATCATTTTTATCTCTTTATTTTCCTGTCTTATAGAAAAGCATTTTAGAATACTTTATATCAATAATGTATCAAAGATATCTTCTTTTATTCTGACATCTGCTTACCCACAAGGAATCAGTGTTATAATAGAAATGGTTTTTACATTGATGCCTAAATCACTTCAAACTTTGTTCAGATAAAAAATAAAATAAAAATGAAAAGCATGTTAAACTAACCTCCAAATCACCAAAAAAGAAATGTTTGTCTGCAAGCTCAAATATTAGAGTTTCCATACCACAACCAAGTCTAAGGACAGCCTCCATATTCTAAAGTAAACAAAATCAAAATGAATATATAAAAAATTACAACAATGTTGTGTCAACTTTTATCCCAGTATAATATTTTTATTCCATTATTTGTAAAATCTGACTCTAACTTTTCATTCTGCCACAAAAATACATCATAGCAAAAATGAACGAGATAAAAACTGCTTCAAGTACAAATAGGTACATATTCAAAAATAAAAGATACCTTTTGAAATTTTGTAGCATATGAGCCAGTTAACAAAGAATGAAATATAAGAATGGTCTCATCCAGATCCCATATGAAGACCCTCTCCAAATTGGAAGCAGGCAATTCTCTTAAAAGACTGGATTGCAGATGAGCTGGCGGACGTCCTCGATGCTTAGTTGGTCCTAAAAAATTTAATCATAGAATTATCAAATATTAGATCAAATATGTAACTTAATTTTAGTCACAAATATCATATATCTATTCTATTGGTGGTTATCCTACAGGTATCCAATCTATTCTAACCAGAATAGAAAGGTCTGGTTAGAATAAATTTGTACTCGTCCAGACCGGATTTGAATTGGCACCACTAGACTCGAGGTTGCTCATATAATGATGCCTTAACACTTTTGGCCATCACAGCCTCTTATTTCATTTACCTATACATTAACAGATATTTCAATAATAAAAGAAGAAAAACCTAGAGTTTCACACAAACATATTTCTTCCTTTGGATCCAAAAAAAGACACTTTTATTTCAAATTATTCTAGAAAGAAATACTAGGTAATTTTTAATACCAATGATTATTAATTAATAATATTGAAGATGTTAAAGAAAAGAAATACACAAATCTAAATTGAATTGAACCGTGTATATAAATAATTTAAGAAATACATCATTTAGAAACTTGAACAAAAAAGTATGGATACTAACTGTTGACTGCTTGTTTTTTAGCTGGGCTAACAGAATTCGACTCTTCGGTAGTACTTGAATCTAAAAAAATAAAAAACATAAACTGCTACACATAAAAAGAGGTGCATATTGAGAAATTAATTTTTCTGTGAATAAAAATGATATTGATATGAAATAACTATGAAATTATTTATTTATATATTCATATATTTATTATGATATTGTAGAAAATTTCAAAAATGAAAATCTCTTTTTTTCTCAAATCAATGTTAATAACAAACCAATCTTATTTAAATAAAAAATCTATTGATATTTAAACAAGTAGTATGATATTGTGATAAGTAATCTTGGGTCAGTTCAATTATTCATATAAAGCTTGTCATATCGACGATGGTTTTTACCTGGTGAACTCAGCTCTAAAAGTTGATGAGATTCAGCTGGATAGTAACGCTGCTGGTAAGCTGGATCAACCGTTTCATGGTTAAGATGACCTGAGTAGTTGCTACCATTCTAAAAGTAAAGCATTATACTTTAGAGTGGTAATTGTATAAGTAGTGATATAAGGAGAGATTCTTAAATAATATATTAAAAAAAAACTATTAGATGTTTAAAATGTGATTCATCTGTCATTTACATATACAGCCTTGTTACAATTTTACATAATTTCTCACTACAAATATCTACAAAAACACATTCAGGTTAAAATCAGCAATAGCATGAATTTTTTACCACAAATAAAAGTAGGAAAAATTAAATTATCTTAATAATGAATATATAGCCTCTTTGATAACCACACCTCAGTGGTGTTTGTCCTCGCTCGATTATAATTCATCTTTCTATTTTGTATGTTCTGCTTTTAATTTAAACAGTGGACAATACATTGTGTTAGAGTGAGCATAGAAGAAACTTTTCATCTTTTTCTTCTCAGTGCCTTACAGCCATCACGAATCTTTGCCAGCATTATCAGAGCACTCAACTGCTTTCCTCTCTTCTATCTCTACCAGATTATCTCATCCATTTATGATTTTTAAAATTTATTTATTTTCTTTGGGTCTTGCTTTAAGAAACTTCCTGGGTTCTCTTTTATCATTCATCATGGTAGTAATAAAACTATTTGAGCATTTTCCTTTCAATAATTTTTAGCAGTGGTGGATGTTTTCAAAAAAACATCCATTCCTGATGTAATCTCTTCTGGTTTGGCCTACTGCACTCTTTAGGGCTCATTACTAATATACAATATTTTCTGGTTTTACATACTGTAATCTTGCTGACATGCTGCACCATCATGGCATCAACTTAATCCATGTCCATACCGTTCAACTTTCTACTTAATCTAACTATGTAATGATGAATTGGAAAGGGGACATGTCTCTTCACCTGTAACATTATCGGAATTCAATAATGCAGGAAATATTGAAAGGTTGTTACAACTCCTTTGAATTTTCATGCCTCATACCATGGCTGTTTTCTTTTTTAATTACTCTTTTGGCTATTTAATTACTATTGCTGAAAACATAATTAACCTTGTTAGACCTATTCTACAATCATAAGGAATAAACCCAATCATGATTCTGATAACATAATGAACCATTATGTCGGAAATATATGAGAAATATTTTGGGAGGGAGGGCTTCAGCCTATAGCTTATTTGATTCATGTTTTATGCATTAAATTTTTACAATATCTTCATCCATTAGATTATTTTCATTTCATTCATGCATTAAATTACTTATTTATACTAATGGGAGTTTAAATAAGGATTGCTTACTTACCACATGGTCCCTGTTCTGTTGATAATAAGCTCTATCATTTTGTGCATAATTATTCTGATGATGAACATTATAATTCAAAGGGACATTACTAGCCTCCCTATTTTCTAAAATTGAAAAATGATCAATTAATAATTTAAAAATATTTTTTTTATTAGGACAGCTTTCTTGAAATAATGATGCTTACCATTGGGTAAAGGATAAGTCGCAGAGTATGGCGGTACCTGGTAAGACCCATCTAAGTTATACTGATCATAAGGAGTGGCCATACTAAAATATTTTTTTTATTAGATTTAGCAGTGAAAATAATTCAAAACAAAAGACAAATAAATTATAGTAGTTTTAATAAGTAAGTAAAAATTATTTTTCCTGTTAATCGATATTCTTTATAGTAATTAATTTATTAATTCAGCTCAACAACCCGCAAGTGGGTCTTCCCTTCCTCCAACAGCAATTGTCATACGTCCCTATTTTGTACTACTGCCATCCAGTATTAAATTTAAACAGTGTATTAAATTTAATAATAATGGTTTCTGACAATGATGATAATAATTTTAGTCATATTTACTAAAGTGCACCAAGCAACCAACCTGTTATAATAATTGTAGGAAGGGATGTTGTAATAACCAGGAGTCCATCGACTAGATTCACTGTTGAAATCAGACATTTCAATTTGTTCTGTAAAAGTAACAACAGAGTACATTGCAAAATGTAATGAATCATAATTATAACACAATTAAGCATACATTTAATGAAAACATTTAGTGATATAAGACTTAAAGAATACAATAATGAACCAATGATTAAGACTATTTAAAATTATAAATATTTTTAGTTGACTTTGGGTGCCACATATTGAGGCAACGTCCTAGTTAGAAACAGTACTAGTTCCAAATTATATATGACTGGAATCGTTATTTTCATTTATTTTTATGTAATTTTATAAATAAATTCCCAATGGAATATTTCAACTGAAGACTTTATAAAACAGTACTTCTTAAAAAAATTAAATTTAAAAGTTGTGTTAAAATGATTCATTTGGGCAAAATATAAATCTAAAAAATGATAATTGAGCAGTTTATTTTTAACAAGTGAAGTACAATGATCACACAAATCATTTAAGATAATCATATATAATTTAGACTCAATTACATGTATGTTTTATTTCTTATTTAACCTAACTTTTTTTTAAGAATTTAAATAAATAAAAGTTAAACTTTTACAATAAATTCAGAACTTTATTACAACAAACTTTCTGATGGTTTTTTTTTTTGTTTTTTTAAAAGTTTTTTCCAATATTGTTTAACTGAAACTTTTAATATAGAATATTTTTAAAAGTTCTAAATCCTGATTAAAATACATTATTATCTTCCCACTCCGACAAGAGAAGATTATCTGATAGCTAGTTAGCATTACCTGCCGACAGTTGGAGTGCCTAAAGACATATAAAACAGGAAAAGACATTTCAATAAAAGCAACACTAACCTTTTCTAAATAATACTTATTAAACAATTTATGTTTATGTTCTGTTAGGTACATGACATTTTTAGTGTGCCCTATTGCAATGGATTCTAACTACGCAAAATACTTTTCTAACATATACATAATTCAGTATTAAATTTCAGATTTCTCTTCAAGTCTGTTCATGTCATTATTTCTGTGTGCATATTTACTGGTGGTCTTTTTTATACAGTTGCAAATTTCATTAAATAAATAAAAAATAAAACAAAATTTAGATTAAAGATGAGCATATTCACAGTACAAAATTCTTACCAGAAAAATATTGGAGATTAGACCAGTTATGAGAAGTCTGACTGTTTTCAAATGGTGAGGATGCTAAAGAAAAATAAATTAAAGGAATAATAATAATGAATAAATATAATTAAGAGAATAATAATATTAAAAGGGATAAAAAATGGGTATATATTTACGTCCACTGTTGTTCGAGGAACTGCAATCTGAATGATTATCTTCACTGAGAATGGGCATTCCCAAATTTTCAGGTAAAAATCTAGAAATATGACATAATACATTTAATTTTACACAAATTAAAGTCATTTACATCTCATCACAAAGCAGCCAAAACCAAATTTTATGTCAACAGTGGGGTTGCTCTCTCACTATCAATCATATTTTCCAGGAATGCCCTTATTATACCTTAAGCTTAAATAGATTAGCTCTAAAACCAGATATATCAGTGGTATTAAACAATGACGAATCAAACATAAAAACAGTAATAAATTTTCTTAAAATCCAAAGACTATTGAATACAATATAGAAATAAATATAATTTTTATTTAATTTGTTTGGTTTTTTTAAGTTATTTTAATATATTTATTTTTTTTTATGTTTTTAATTTTTTTATTCTATCTATCTTTTGTTAATTCTGGATTATTCATTCTTTTTTTCTCTCTTTTAAAGAGTTTAGGAACACAACAGATAACAAAAATAACTGACTCACAGGCATTGATGACCCTAGGGTAGATTTGGTTATGCTGAAAAATTTAAATTTGTCAATTCTAAGGTTTTAAATTGCGACAGAATATGTTTTACATATCAGCAATTCAAAAGGTGAATATTAAATGAGAAAAACAAAGATAAAAAGTCTCATACATTCAATAAAAATATAATTACAAAATAATATAATGCCCAGATATTTCATAAAAACATTATCTCTTAAATTAATTAAAAATGTTTTCTATAAATAATCCAGCATTCATTTAAAAAATAATACATGTAATGATAGTCTTAAAACTAGAATAGTAATTTTCACAATAAAATATCTCTTGTTTCATAAATAACAGAAACAGAACTTACTTGTGATGATCAGAAAGCATTGCTATTGTGGACGACTACTTTTCAACCTGAAAAATATTAAAATATTGTTATCAGCACTAATTCAAACAAATGGATTCTAGATCAAAATAATTAGAAACATTAATAATATTTTTACTTAGCTGTGATAGGCTTAATTTTACCAAAATAAAAAAATAACTTTTGAAATTTTGTTTATTCAACCAGGATACTTGATTCATCATCATCGTATTAGGTACGATATCTCGTTACCAAGACTGGGCCTCCTTCAAGAGCCTCCGCCAGTCGGCTCTGTCTTCTGTTGGAGCTTTCCAGTTCCGTACGCCAAGCAGGGTTCTTGCATCATAGGCCATGCTGTCCTCAGCCTTCCCACTAGTTCAGCGATACCTACTTCTAAAGTGTCCGCCAAGTCCAAAGACACATCTATTGGCAGCCGTGATCCTTCTCGGTATTTCTTGAGCCATGTCATTCTTACTATTTACTTCAGACCCAAGGTATATATAGCTTTTTACTCCCTCAAACTTAAAAGATCCTACCTCAAATGGAGAGTTCAGATCCACCTCACCACCAACTCTCATATACTTTGTTTTCTTCTAGATCAAGTCGTCTTGCAGATGCTTCATGAAAGGAGTGAGATTCCTCTATATTTAGTACATTCTGTTTGTTCTCCTTTCTTATGTATTGGGCAGATAATGGCTGTTGCCCATTCCGTAGGCATAGCTTTCCTCTCCCAGATGGTCAGCAACAAGTCATGCAGAGCTTTCTTTAGTTCTTCACCTACACATTTCAGCAGCTCTGACTGGATTTCATCCGGGCCTTGCGCCTTTCCTTTTTTCAATTTTCTCAGGACATTTTCCAGTTCATTGGTGTCTTTGCAGGTCGTCACTCTGGGCCTGAACTCTACCCTCATTTATTCTGAATGAGAAATGCCTCTGTATCCTGGATGTTCTTATTTTTCCAAGCTCTTCTTTTCCTGCGGAATGATCTTTTCTCTTCACGTCTTATTCTTCGATATGTTTCCTGGGAGAATCTCGTCATCTGTAGGCTTCGTTTTTCACTTTTACTGCTTAAAGGTACTCAGCATCAATAGCTTCTAGATTTAGTCTCGTAGCCAAGAGATTCTTCTGCTGCCTGTTTGATTGCGTTGCTGCATCTCTCCCACTGTTCATCGACCATAGAACTGTCATTAACTGCTTCTTCATTAAGTTTCCTCTCCACAGCTTGTTGATACGAATGTTGGTGGTCTGGGTCCTTCAGTTTAGCTACATCAATCTTCTTCTTGGGTCATTGGAGGTGGTTTTTAACAAGCGACATTCTTAATCTCACCTTGGCAATGCTCAAATAGTGATCTGTGTCCATATTTGCACTAAAGTCTTGCATTTATCATGTTGGACTTGTGACAGGCATTAATGAGTACTTGGTCTATCCGTGATGTTGTTTGCCTATTCCGGGAGATTCATGCTGCTTTGTGGATATCCTTTCGAGGAAAAAAAAGTTGTTCAATGAAGTCAAAGATGAAAGTACACAAAAAAGTTATATTTTCATGTGTGGCTATGCTTTGGCCTAAGTTTAGGTCTTTATCAGGGGTGCTTACCTGAGATCTTCATTGATTTGTTTTGAAAAAAACTACTATTAATATACCTGTTATAGTTTTAAATAAATTACAGATTCTAATTAAAAATAAATTCCCAAAGGAGCCATTGTCAGCACGGGCGGATCTACGGGGGGGGGGGCTTTCGGGCTGAAGCCCCCCCCCCCCAAAATGGTAAAACAAGACCATGTTTTATAGAAAAAAAATGTTTAAAAATACCTCTGAAAGTCTTATTGTTCGAGTAATTACATTTAAAAGAACTTAATGAATCACTTAAACACCATTTCATATAGGTAGTTAGTTTCTTTCTGTCATTCCAAAGTAATTATCGTAATTTTCATGAAAAAAAAAAAGCTTCCGGGCTGAAGCCCCCCCAAAATTAAATCCTGGATCCGCTAGTGATTGTCAGCAACAGTTAAGAAAAAAAGCAATGGTTAAGTTATTATCATTAATCAATTAGTCATACTTATTTGATGATGCCGCTCTAAATTATGTTACGCTTTTTCAAGAAAAATTTTGACCCCTTGCCAGTAGCATTGTTGATTGGTAACCAATGTTTTGATAATAAATATCACCTCTACCAGAGAGAAACCTTCAATTGAAATCTCCATACTTAAAATTCATAAGAAGGGCTTAGTAAGGTCTATGCAACCATCGTGATTTCCATCCAATCATCGAGTAAATAATCCTCAACATATCTTGTGGTATTTGATAACTTGAAGAAGCATTAAAGTATAACGGAAAATTTTATTTCCAAACTAAGATTTGTATAAATAAAATAAATTGACATACATTTTTATGAATAGTGAAGTTAGAAGAAACCTAGATTTCATAATTCAAAACTAATTCAATTATCATTCAAGGTTAATCATTTATTTCTAGAAGTCAATGCAAAAAGAAAAGTAATTATCAACAGACATGTAAATATATATAAGATTGTCCGTGAACACAACCTTTGACAGCTATCAGGTCTATTTAAAGACTAGTCCTATAGCAAAAATGTTTTAACACTTTATTCAAAAACCATGTAATTAACATTCCAATTGTTTTCTTTAGAAGACTGGCGTCAACCACTAAACAACTAGGCATTGTTACCACACTTAATAATTATGTATTTTAATCATTTTTCAACATTCATAAGATTTTCTCTTGTAAAACAAAACCTTCATGCAATTCATAAATTACCACAATTCTTTCCTGAGATAGATGTCCAAGACCCCTGAGAACCAGCAAATCCTTTGTCACAGAGTTGCCAACTCAGAATTAATTTTTCTAAAGAAAAGACTATTTGCTTTCAATCCCCCATAATAATTCATGCTTGGCGTAGATAACACTTTTTAAACAAAGTAATAAACTTAAAAATTAAATACATCTTAACTAACATCTGAAGAATGGTATCGATTAGTCTTTACTCAATTTTCTTCGATTGTCTTTGTTTTTTTTTATATTTCTGAATTAGATTTCGATAAAAAGAAATCTAAAACAGCACTTAATGCAGTTGGTTTTGTTTTTTATCCAAGGCCGGCAAAAAAAATAGAAGTTAACGAAATTAACTGTGATAAATCGTACTTCGTTATTCCGAGGATATAGCTCGCACAATATAAGGTTATTTTTTTCTCTGGGCTTAGTTTTATGTAATGTTATTTTTTAGAGCATACTAATATTTGTCTCAAATATTAAAAACTGTGGCTTATTCTTTTATCTTTTTATCTCATCAGTAATACAGCCCCAAGACCACACCAAGTATAATAATCCAACTATTTCATATCCAGCTCTCTGGGCATGACGACTTAAAGAGTACTGAGGTTTATTGCATCGTATTTCTAAACATAAACCGTTTCTGCGTTTTGTTTTCTAGTAAATTTTTGGCATTATGGTCATAATTAACTAATATTAAATTCATAGGGCGTTTTAATCATTACATTATTTAAGTAAACAAAACAAGTTTGGCCGAAAAAATACAGAAATAACAATGGAAGAGGTTGTCAACTCATTTTGAATGTTAAGGATATGTTTTTATTGAAAATGATTACTTTTATTAACGACCACTTCAATGACAACTCTATCAGAGCTCCTTTGAAATAATTAAACCAAATAATTTTTTTTACGACAGGAGAGGAGGCTTTCGGTCTGAACTTGCATTATTTATTTATTTGTTTTATATTATGTTTTTAATTCCTCGCTATTAACAACTTCTTAATTTGTTTTCATATTTTCTATAGATTTAACATTCTATTGAGGAATTATTAATTAATTAATAAAAAATTAATGTCAATTTTTTTGACATTACGGTAGATGACTCGCTTACATTAAATTGTTTTTCTATATCTAAAGTATAATAATAACAATAAATAAATAATTATAAAAGGCTTAGCGATCGCGAAGGTTCGATGCCGACACCACCAATCGCTTATTACACACCTCCCTCCACTGTTCTCCGTCCAAACCTAGTTCCTTCAGATCGGTTTTAATGCAATCTTCCCATCTTCGCTTCGGTCTACCCCTCGGACGTTTACCATTCGGTACAGCAAATATTAACCTTTTAGGAATTCCCTCGTTACTAAGCCAAACAACTTTACAGGCCCATTTGATTCGCCGGGATGAAATCACCTCAATTATATTACCTGGATACAGTTCACGCAATTCGGCGTTGTGTAACCGTCTGAACTCTCCGGTTAACTCATCCTTCTTCGGTCCGAATATTCTAGACAATACTTTATTTTCAAAAACCTAAGACGCTGCTCATCTCTTAATGTAAGCGGCCAAGTTTCCCATCCATAATGAACTGTAGGCAAGATAATTGTTTTATAGATTCTAATTTTTAAGTTCCGGGACAAGAGGCGCGAACTAAGTAGTTTTGTCACAGAAAAATAAGAAGCATTTCCCGCCTTCAGTTTAACCTTAATCTCTTCTTCAATTTCGTTTTTTCTAGTTATCGTAGATCCTAGATACCTAATCTTCTATCTATACCTGTTCAAACATATTATCATCTATTTGCAGCTAATTATATATTTTATCTTATTCGTGTTTATTTCGAGCCCTAGTTCTTTACTGGCATTCATTAACAGTCTCCAGGTCTTCGCTTAACAGTACCAGATCATCCGCATAACCCAGCACGGGTGTTGTCCCACCCAGATCAAACCCTTTTTCGGTACGCATTACCTCCCTAATGGCATGTTCTAATGCCAAATTGAACAGAACAGGCGAAAGGGAATTCTCCGATTTTAAACCCAAACGAACCTCAAACTTTTCGGACAGATTATTACCGATTCTAACTATATTGAGTGTTTCCGTCAAGCACATCCTGACTAGATTTACTAGTTTATTTGGGATCCCCTGTTCGATTAGTATATTATACAGTTTCTGGCGGTCAATAGAATCGTAAGCCTTTTTGAAATCGACATGAAGCTGGTGAACAATACCGTTTTACTC